AGAACAGAGTGCTTACTCTAGCGGCTGTGGATGCAGTCTGGTCCAGGGCACAGTTTACGGGATATGTCATGATTCACGGGGTGGCGGCAGGGATGGTAAAAGCAGTTTGCTCTTGGTGTCAGCTGCTTCCTTTGTTAATGCTTGAGCTGTCTTACTTGTCAGTATTTCCTTATCTCCTGCTCTGGTCGTGCCAGCTAGTAGAGTTACAGATGGTGGCAGCAGTCAGGATGGGTTCCTACCCCATCAGGAAATGGCACACAGGGAGAAGGTGAGGGAATCGGTGGGTTCTACTATAGCGGCCCAGAGATGCCTTCACGAAACTATTATTAAGATCCCCAAACAGATGAATGTCAAATGCCTGGAAACAGCAACATCGGAAAGAAGCAAGGAAAATGAATGATCCCGCTGAACAGTGTGGATTGAAAGGTTCTTAACAAGTCCGGCAAGATAAACTTATGGCCAAAAGGAGAAATTTTCCTGCCTCTGCAAATAGACATGATAAACACTAAAATTGCCAAGTTTTTGGGATAGAAACTTTTCAAGTACAGTATTGAAGAATGAGGCAGATCCCGAAGATGTTGACCAGGGAAAGCAATCTTGGCAAAGTCCAGAAATGAGAAGGCATGAGGAAGAGAAGGGGAGATGCTTAGAGCAGGGGTGCTGGGGCTCCTTGACCACCAGCAGCAGCACATACTTGTCCCCACCAGACCCACCCGAATCGGAAACTGAGGGTGGGCCGGGCAGTCTCACAAGGCCTCCGGAGGACTCTGATGGACGCGGACATTTGAGAACCACAGGCTTTGCTGTACCTAAGCGTTTTAATATATTGGCATCCCCCTAAGCTCTGAGGTGCACTTATATTTCCCTCCATAAGTATAGACATGTTTTGTATATGATTCTTTGCAGAAACTGTTAATGTTTTTATTTCCCATACTTTTTCCCTAAAGCCCCTAAAAGATCTGGAAATGTTGAGAAAGAATGATGTGGAGAAAATTGCCATCAAGGCCATATTTAGATGGATGGAAACAACCTTTAAAGTGGATTAAAATATAACAATGAATTTTTAGTCTGTGAGTGATAGTCATTTTTCACAATAGACAGTAAAACATTTGTGTAAGATACTGCTATCCATGATTTCATGATATTTGTTCATTACATTTTCGTTTCCTGGGAAAATGTCGTGTATTTTCCAGCATAATAATGATGAAGTCTTTAAGGTATGGCTCACAAAAATGAAAATAATTGGAAGAAAAAACCACCCTGAGTACATAGTATTGTGTAATAAATACTTGTTGCGTTATTGGTGATCTTTTGCTAGGACTTAATCTCGGTACTTCAGAGCATGTAAAAATCAATTTTCAGTGATCCACTTAATCACACCTTATTGTCTTTGTTTTACATTTCAGTGATTCTGCAGGGCTTGGTGGCCAATAGCAACAGCATGTTCTATTTTTTTGTCTGACTCCTGGATTCGGTGTTTCAGAATACGGTACTCTAATCCTAAAGCTTTGAAATGAAATCACAACCACTTTTTCTTTAGGTTTTATTTGTATGAATTGGGCTAGGCTCTAATTTATGACTTAAGCCCACAAACCCAAATTTTCTCTGGGAATTTGTGTGGCCAAAGAGGAGTTCTCTGGTATCATTTCTCAGGTGTTCATCTTGTTTTGTGCCCGGGGCTTGATTTATAAAGGTGATAAAGTGAGGGCACGGAGAGGTCTGTGCCACTGAAAGAAAAGTTTGTAGTTACAGTTCCCCTGGAAATGAGGCACGGCTTGCCGCGCAGGACCACAGGACGGCACCAGGTTTGGGTCAGGAGGCAGAAGACTGAAGCAAGCAGTAAGTTTAGGCCAGAGCCTTTATTGGGGTTTCCTCTAAGAAGGCAAAGCAGGGCAGGGTGAACAGCTCTAGAAATGGCTAGTTCAACTAATTCTGGGGCCTTTGGGCTATAATCTAATCTCTGGTTGCCTAGTACCTGGCCCTGGGATGATTGCTTCCTGGAGTGTAACAGGTCAGATGGAGGGGGTATGGCTCCACCGAACCTGGTTGGTTTGCACATCGAAAACATACTGCTGGCTGAGTCCTTTGCTATCTTTCTAAGAATCAGCCAGCCCTGGGAGAGGTAGTTTTTTCCCAGCCAGAAAGGTTTTTTAATCTGTTAAAACATCGTAATTATTACAGAAAGCAAAAAACATGATTAACACACGTGTAAGCTGTTAAGCTCTCCTTTCAATTTTTGCAGTCTTTTTAAAACACCATGTAATTTTTCTTTTTTTTTAAACTTTTTTAAGATTTTATTTATTTGACAGAGAGAGATAGCGAGAGCAGGAACACAAGCAGGGGGAGTGGGAGAGGGAGAAGCAGGCTTCCCTCCGAGCAGGGAGCCCGATGCGGGGCTCGATCCCAGGACTCTGGGACCATGACCTGAGCCGAAGGCAGACGTTTAACTGACTGAGCCACCCAGGCGCCCCCATGTAATTTTTCTTTTCCATCTTGGAAACCAGTTAAAAAATACCTCTGGCCAAAAATGTTACTAGATGCTTTCAAGGTATGGGAATATAAAAAGATTTTTAAGATGGAAATTATGAAAATTAATGTTTTCTTTCTCTAGAAGTGAGTTCTGACCCTTGCAGATCTCTCATTTAAATGTTTTTAATTGAAAAAGAATAAAATACCAGAACTTACAAGTGGCCTTGGTGGCTTGGACTGAAATCAACCCATTTCACTATGTGTAGATTCTACCTCTTGCTCCTCCCAGTGGGCCATGTATTTCTCCATGAACAATGTCATGATTATGCAAACTTCTGGCACCCCAAAATCATGGCAACACTTTAAACTGCTCTCAGTATATATCCCAGTTTTGTAGTCAGTAGCTATCGCAGACTGTGGCCATTTCAAACTCTTTACCCCCACCTTCTCTCAGCCTCAGCAGCTAATCTCCCCCATCCCCTAACAGGTAATAAAGCATTAGACAGGAGTCCCCCCATTGCACACCCTTACATACAACCCTTCCTCACCTTTCTTGTGCTTGTCCTGCCCAACACAAATCCCTTCAATGCCCTCAGTCCCTCTCCTTTGATCAGATGCCTTGCTCAGTCTAGCTACAGCTTCTCACTCCTGGCACGTACAGCTCTGCATTTGAACATGTTTAAAGATTCCCTCTTGAAATGAAAATACTCTTTTGACTACCACTAAAATACTGCCCTCACTTACACTTCCTGTTCATTAATTCTCAGTCCACTGAAGCATTGGTTTTTAGCCCTGGCTGCACATTAGGACCACCTGGGGAGATTTTAAAGAATCCTAATTCCCTCAACTGAACTACAGACCAATTACATCAGAATGGGGAGGTGGGACAGGCTTCATTCTTTTTAAAACAGTGATGCAGCTGGGGCTGAGAACCACCATGCCAAAACCTGGTTGCTATACTCATCACCATTAAAGTTGTTTTTGCTGGGTTCACCAGTGATTTCCAGTTGTCAAAATTCAGCCCTTTGGTTGATGCTTATGACTTCATACTATATAACCACTTCCTTTTTGGAATTCTGCCTGTTCTGACCCTGCTCTCCTGATTTTTTCCTCCACTTCTTTGCTTTTTCAGTCTCCACAGGTGGGCAGTCCCAACACAGACTGAATGTCCCTTTCTTCACCTCCAATACTTCAGTTAACACCTATGTACTAATGAGTTCCTTTGCCATACCACCTAATGCACTGACTTAAAGCCTGGACTTAGAGTGAAGCATTTACATTCCTTAATCATTGTAGACGTACGGGAAAACATGCTCAAGGTCTCTGCTTCTTCCTTTGTTTCTCTTTGTGTCTGTTTGTCCCTCCTCTAGGCCCACTGAGGTAGGAAGGTTGCTAACCACATTAGATTCTAAGATGGATCACCCCTATGTACTCTTGGGGTTGCCATTCATAAGAAGTCAGGCTTGAACTGTGGTCCCTCTTCTGCTTTCTCCTATCCAGGATCTTGGACTGGTAAGGAGACCTGGGCCCACTTTTACATACAAGGAGGCTACCCCCATCTAGTGCTCACTTCAGTTTTTTACTTTCTGCTGCTGGTAAGAGTTTAGTTTGGGTTTAGGGGGTGAGACAGACTCATTTCCTCACCAATTTTTGACCTTTGGTACCATGTTGGATCTTACTTTATTAGAGAATATTTACTGGGGTTTCAAGCCCTAGCTCTAATACTAAGGTGGAACTTGATTTTCTACTTTATTACTATCATTACATGGTACCTCTGGAACTATATATAGGGGTTCCACCCTCACCAGAAGGGATCCTGTGTGTTCCTGACTTCCCTGAATCACTAATTTCTGTTTCAGAGTCTGGGATGAATGGATCTGATTAGTACTCATGTGCTTATGTCCGAGCTGCAGGAAGTGAGAATGAGGTTATCTGGAATGTGTAGCTTCTGTTGGGGTTGGATGAATTCCTCAAACATAGAAGAACAGTTCAGGTGCTGGACAGCTGATAAGAATAACAAAGGTCCATGAGGGCCATTGTCCTATTTACTGATTCAACAAACGTGTATTAAGCACTCACTAAGCCAGTCTTCCTCAGGGACCTTTTGGGGAAGGTGGCCGCTGCCTAAGGTCCTTAGATATACTCTGCACGAAACCAGTCTGACCCTTTCCAGAGCCCCTAATGACAGTAATAATGACTAAACTGAGTGATTATTATTATATGCCATTTGTCAACAGCATCTCAATCTTCAACAACTCTAAGGTAGGTAAATTTATATCTGTTTTAAAGCAATGAAATATGCTTATAGTTAGAGATTAACTTGCTCAAAGTTACAAAGCTAATCAGTGTAAGCCAGCATTCAAACTCCAAGTCTGTTTGGTGCTAGACTTTCTGTTCCTAGTAACACCCTGTGCTGCCCTTTTCACAATATAAATGAACTGTTGGTGGCCATCTATATCTGAAATAAACTGGGTGCCACTGGGCCTGGAACTGGGTGTCTTGTGACACCCTTTTACTCCATTTACCTGTAGCTCCTGGTGAGCTGTTTCTCTATCAAAGCAACTATGAATGGGCTCATCTCTTTTCTGTGCCTACATCACTGAAAGATCGGCAGTTTCTGTGGCATCTTCTTAAAATGACCTATTCTTGGTTTTGGAGGTGACCACAGCAAAAGTCAATAAAGTCTTCCAAATCTATGGCAATAAACAGATATGGTCCTTTGTAGGCCAATACAAAATGGATCCCTAAGCCAGAAGGACATGTACTTTGGATTGTTAATGTTAGTGATGAACTGTGCTGAACATCTTGCTAAACATCTTACAGAGCTGCTAGCCAAGATAGCCATCTTAACGGTTTTGACCTTTATAAATGTCCCTTCACTCAGTAGATGTGAGTAGAACACATTTTATGTCAAGCACCCTGCTAGCTGCTGAATGTACAAAGAGGAAGGGTTGCATTCCTGTTGTCACGATATTCATGGTCTTCTGAGGAAGAGACAAAGCAAATATTACAATGTAGAATGATAAACTTTGAGAAAGAATACCGGGGTATCTTGGCAGCAAGGAGTAAAGCACCCCAACTCAAACTGGGTAGAGGGAGGAGTTAAAAAATACTGGACCGGGTCTTGGAGGATGAACAGAAGTTAAGTGAAGAAGAGAGGATGAGGCCACCCAGCATAAAGAGCATGGTTTGTACAGGGCACTGCAAGTATTTTGGTATGGCTGACAGCATATAGGAGCAGGGAGAAGTAGGCAGGAGACAAAGTGAAGGACCCTGTGTAAACTGGCTTGCTTGTTGATTAGGAGAGCTGTCACAGTATTCCTCTGCTGTATAGTCCTGGAAAGCCTACTGCAACTGGCCCATTTTGCAGACAAAGCTGGAACTGAGATGTGAACAGGTTTCCGGCTCCTCGATCACCTCCCTGGGAAATACAACCAGATCTGTCTCTTTGTAGGAGCTACTGACATGCTTAGGAGTAGATTAAGCTGAATTGGAAATAATCAGTTTGCACCATGGCTGACTGAATTCTTCATGCGTTCTATCATGATGCCAGTCTGAGGTTATTCCCCTTAAACTGCCTTATCTTGGTAGAATTTAATGCACAATGTGGTAGTCTTAATCCCTAGTACTGTTCTTCAGTAGCCAAAGTTGCCACTCTAAAATATGCATTTGGGGCTTTTTTTCCTCAGTGGCCACAGTAAATTTGTGTCGATGAATCTACACTCTTTAGATGGGGGAACTTTGCAATCTTTGAAATCTCAATGCTACAGAAAGTGTCCATAGGATAAATGCAGCTGTCCCATACGAAGCATTGATCCCATGATTTTGGTCTCATTAATACCATGCTATATGTAGCTGAACTCTGTAAAATGGAGCGAATGTAGTGGTTTGGGCCAACAGTGGTAATGTATGGCCCTTTTTCTGGTGTTCCACATTAGTGTGACTCAGAGCGTCTTCACCACATTCTTTGGAGCTCTTGATTTAAAACCTTTTTTTAAAAAAAATCTTTTAGTTTGAAATAAGTTTAGACTTACAGGAAAGTTGCAAAAATAGTATAGAAAGTCGCCATATGTCCTTCTCTCAGCTTCTAATGTTAACAGCTTACATAACCATGGTACAATTATCAAAACCAGGAAATTAACATTGACACAATCCTATTAACTAAACTACCTACTTAGTTCAGTGTCACCCGTTTTCCCTGTAAAGTCCTTTTTCTGGTTAAGGATTCAATCCAGGATCCATGTGTACTTGGGTCTGTTTCTGAGCGTTCAATTCTATTCACTGGTTATTTGCTTCTGCACAGTGGCACATTGTTTTCAATAACTGAAACTTTATAGTATGTTTAAATGTCTGATAGAGCTAGTCCTCTGACAATTATTCTTCTCCAGTGTTTTCCTGGCTCTTCTTACATGTTTGTTTTTCCATATAAACTTTAGTATCAACATGTCTAACTGAGATTGCATTACATTTACTAGCTCACTTAGGGAGAACTGACATCTTTACAATGTTGAGTTATCCAAATTATCCACGAATGGGGGATATATTTCCATTTGTTCATGTCTATTTTTGTGCTTTTTCAGGACTGTTTCAAATTTTTCCTTGGATAGATATTATGCATTTCTTGTTAAGTTTATCCCCTAGTATTCCATCTTTTTTGTTGCTACTAATGGGGTTTTCTCTGCCATTATGTCTTCTACTTGGTTATTGTTCTTATATAGGAAGACTTTTGACTTTTGTATACTAATTTTATATCCTGCTACCTTACTGAATTCTTTTACTTTTTGGGTGAGTTTTATCATTGATCCTCAAGGGTAAAAAAAAAAATTCTAAATGCACTGAACAGTAACAATGAATGAAAGAACCTATGGAGGTCAAAAGTGCTGTGAACTTTTGGGCAACAAGTAAGATGAAAGCCATTATTCACTCTGAAAGTATCTGCAGAGACCTGGCCCCCTTGAGCCTCTGTCATGGTGACTGTGATGAGTGTAGGAGATAAAGCTGGGCCTGCTCAGTGCAGGGAATTTAGCCTAAGATCTCCCACAAAGTGGGGCCCCTCAAAGTGCAACACTCACAGCGTAAGCATCAATACTAAGTAAACCCACCAAGCAGAAATAACAGCAAGGCCTTTCTTGGCCTTGGCTGTGGGTGGAGGAAAAGTTTGTTTTAACCTAAAAATGTTTAACAAGTTGTCCCTTATAGAGGCTTATGGCCTAAGTTTATTCTACTGGTGTGGTCCAAAATACTGCAAGTGGGAATTTAATTTACAGTGGACCCAGGTCAGTAATAACCTTAGATGACTAGCAGATGCAAACACAAATTCTCTCAGGAGGAACGAAACTTAAGTCACGGTATCAAAGAACTACCACAGATAGTTATAAAGAATATGGGTAGCTCACAGGTCAAAACCACAAACGAAAGAAGGAAACAAGAAACTATGAGTGAGAATCATTAGAAACAACATGCAGGAGAATCAGACTCAAACACATTAGATATTGTACTTATTGGCACACAGTATAAACTAAATGTTTTAAATATATTTCAAGAAATAAAAGAAAGGCTTCAAAACACCAGGCAACAAAAACACATAACTTTGAAAAGGGGTGATGAGAGTTACAGTGTCCTATTGCCCTTAAGTTGTTCAGGAGGAGTTAAAGAATCTTATTAATTTGGGGCCTTAGGTAAGTAGACATGTTAAAATATTTGGGGCAAGCATTAAAAGAATAAATATAGAGAATACAGTATTTAAGCTAATATGGGGGGAAAGAAATGGTAAAAAGACAATAAACTGGAAAGGTGAGAAAAAGCACAAAATAAGGTGGTAAAAGAATTCAAATTTATTAGTTATAAGCATTAATGAACTAGACCCTCCAGTTGAAAGATAAGGTCAATAATGCCAGATTTTAAATATCCACTTACATGCTGTTTATAAGAGATACATCCAAAACTTAGTCACAGGAAGACTGAAAGTAAAAGGATGGAAAAATATAAGAGGAAGTTAATCAGAGAAAGTAAAGATAATCTCTACGAAATAACAAACGTTGGCTCAATAACTGATAAGTGGTTCAATTTGCCAGAAAAACATACTAATTTTCAACTAAGCTTGATAACAGAGCCTCAGTATACATAAACAAAAATGGGCAAAACTAAGTTTAAAATGTCTACTTTAGTTGTTGATAATGACAAGTGGACAGAAATTGTTATGAATATAGAATATTTAAATAGTATAATAAGCTTATGGTCTAGCAGACATGAAAAGAATATCACACCCAACAATTTGAAGAATTATACATTATTTTCAAGCACTGATTGAACATTACAAAAATTGACTCTTAAGCCATAAAGCAAACTTCAGTGAATTCCAAAGGTTAGAGACAAGTAGACCACACTCTGTAATCACGATGAAAAATTTAAAAGTCAGTAACAAAAAATGAATTTGCTAACATATTTGGAAATTTCATAGCATATCTAAACTAATGAACCAATGAAAAAGTCTTAACAGATATTGGAAAATAGAACTGAATTATATGAAAATTCTATTTTCATTAACCCTCTTGAGATGCAGCTAAAGGGGTAATTTGAGGAAAACATATGGTCTGAAATGTTTAAGTCAGAGAAGAAGAAAGGACTGAAAATTGATGAGCTAAACATTCTACTTACAATTAGTAAAATAATAACAGAATAAACCCAGAGAAGGCAAAATTAATAAAATAATAGTGATAAGATCTAAATTTAATGAAATGAAATAAACATATGATTGAAAAATCAACAAAAATTATGACAAATAAAATAAGCAAAACTTTAACAGCATTAAGAAAAGATGGAGAAGGCACTAACAATATTAGGAAAGGAAAGGGACACATAGTTATAAATACAGAAGAGATCTAGAAGATAGTAAAGTAATTTTGAAAGCTTAAACAAAACAGACACATTTCCAGAAAGATAATTTATCAAAACTCAATCAGAAGAAATGGAAAACTCAATTGGTCCTGTAATCATCTAGTCAGTAGTTTGAAATCTGAGACTGTATATTCTTCGTAGGAAGATTTTGTGTGACCCACCAAAATGGTGGAAATGTCTCTGGCTTATAAAGTTTATTTGGAAGACCAAATGAGCAAGACTAGCCTAAGAAAACTGGAAGGGAAAGGATATGAGAGCTTATAGCCTTTAATACTGAAAGTGTGGTACAGGTACATGAATAGACAAACTGACCAATGGAACACAACAGAAAATTCAGAAATAGGCCCAACTGCATACAGAAGTTCAGGATACAATTAAGGTAGTGTCTGAAGTCGGTGGGGGGGAAGATGGACTATAAAAACGAATGGTATGGAGGGGCACCTGGCTGGCTCAGTCGAAAGAGCATTTGACTTTTGATCTTGGGGTTGGGAGTTTGAGCCCCATGTTGGAGGTAGAGTTTACTTTAAAAAAATTTTTTTTAATTTTCAGAATGAATGGTATTGGGATAACTGGATGGCCATATGAAAAAACAAATTTGCTTTGTTCCTCACACTATATACCAGGATAATTTTTAAATTGATCAG